TTTTGAATTATGCATATACACATACAACGGTCCGTTGCTCGTTCGCATCTCATCGGTATCTGCTCTTTGAAAATGCGCCGCGTGTGAGCGGTAATTAGTACCTTTAGCGTTGGAGCCACAGAGGTTCCCTCAAGGGAACTACGCAACTATAATGTCACTGACCTTGCAGATACTTAAACGTCTACTTGGTTTCAATGCATATAGATTGACTAAAGTCAGTTGGGAGAAGACAAATCTGTTCAGATGGGCATGTGAGGGGCTAATCTTTATGCACGAGTAATTATAAAGTCTTTTAATGCATTGGCATGCTGCCCAATGAAGGCCTTCAGTCAGTGACATGAATGACAAACACCACATGGAGGCCACCTAAAGGATGGAACACATTTTAAATAAGAAGAAAAGGAAATTACGGCTATTAACCCTAATTTGGTTGGTTCATATGAGGATGCATGGTTTCAGAGCTTCTGGGATGCGCTGAATCATTGCTTGAGGTATATATGGCTGGGTTTATGTGTGAAGCACAAAGTAAAGTTGGCAGTAAGCCATTTACTGCAAACCGTGTCTGTGGCTCCCTCAAACTGCTTGTCTACATCGTGTGTTTTGAATGAGTCGGGTGGACAAGAGAAAGACAAGCATTCCCCAAACAAAAGGCCAAGCCGATCCAGTTAGACAGTCAAATTGACCTGAGTAGACTTGAGATAACGCTTCATGAATATAGTAGCCAATCAAACAACTAAAAGTAAGGTCACACACATCATGTCCTCAAAAACTGAAGCTTTTGTTTCAAGCACTGAAAGTGAACCACTGTTTCAAAGTCATTACGGAGAAAGGGTGTGTGGATACTATTAGGTAAAGACAAGGTTCAGCAATTAAAACTTCACACATTAACAAAACCATCATATAAAACCAGAGAAGATGAGATTTAAAAAATACAATGCCCCATTGGGTTGCTCTTATGCTTCATTTAAATTTCAACATTGTCTCAGGTGATTGTCTGAAATAAAATAGACACAAATGAGACCATTTTTGACATACAGTATGAGTATATGTGACCCTGGACCACAAAACCAGTCTTAAGTCGCTGGGGTATATTTGTAGCAATAGCCAAAAATACATTGTATGGGTCAAAATTATTGATTTTTCTTTTATGCCAAAAAACATTAGGATATTAAGTAAAGATCATGTTCCATGAAGATATTTTGTAAATGTCCTACTGTAAATATATTAAAACTTAATTTTTGATTAGTAATATGCATTGCTAAGAACTTCATTTGGACAACTTTAAAGGCGATTTTCTCAATATTTTGATTTATTTGCACCCTCAGATTCCAGATTTTCAAATAGTTGTATCTCGACCAAATATTGTCATATCCTAACAAACCATACATCAATGGAAAACTTATTTATTCAGCTTTCAGATGATGTATAAATCTAAATTTCGAAAAATTTACCCTTATGACTGTTTTTGTGGTCCAGGGTCACATAGCTAAACAAAATGAAATGTGTGTGTGTGTGTGTCTATATATATATATATATATAATAACTTTGAATTTAATGAAAACTTTTATTGAGCAACGAGAAATTAAATTGATCTCAAGTGACAGTAATGATGTTTATAATGTTACACAAGATGTAACCATAATAACAATAATACATTGAAATTATTATTAAATTATTATGTAACCATAATACATTAAAAATGTATTACACACAACATATAAAGAAATATATCATCTTTAGCAGCAAATCAGCAATTATAATGACTTTTGAAGGATCACTAATAATTGGAGTAATTGCTGCTGAAATTTCAGCACTGCATCACAGTAATAAATTACATTTTAACTGTAATTTAAATAAATAATAAATTTATTTAAATGTAATAATTTACATTTTTTTCCCCCACGTCATCTCATTGCTTTCTTCATTTTCTCATTGCTCATTGCTTTCATCTCATTGATTTTCTTTCTTCTGGTGCTAAAATCTATCTCTTTCTCTCTCTATCTGCATTGCTCGAATATCCTTGAAATTCCTTGAACAAGAGGTGAACTTGCAAACTATGGTGATTTGAAATTATTATGAGGCCCTCACAAATGCCATTTATCACTACTCTCTATTTGCTCATTATAATTTCATGGTACCATCTTTTATAATTTAGTACTCATCATCTCTAGCAACTTTCTTTTTAAAACCAGCCCTTTATTTTCCTTCAATTAACCTGCACACAAGTTCAGCTCAATGCATCCAGTGTTTGTTGCAATTTAACCTTATACCGCAGCGACCAAACTGAGGAATCACAAACCATTAGCGAGACATTCTTGCAGTCAGGATCATTATAAGGAAACATCTGCAGTTTTTTTCCCAACCTCTCTATATCATTACAAGTCTACTTACGTGACATGTGGCCAAGTATGGTGACCCGTACTCAGAATTAGTGCTCTGCATTTACCCATCCAAAGTGTGCGCGCGCACACACACACGCACACGCACACACGCACACGGAGCAGTGGCCAGCCATTTATGCTGCGGCGCCTGGGGAGCAGTTGGGGGTTTGGTGCCTTGCTCAAGGGCACCTCAGTCGTGGTATTGAAGGTGGGAGAGAGCACTGTACATTCCCTCCCCCACCTACAATCCCTGCCGGTACGAGACTCGAACCCGCAACCTTTGGGTTATGAGTCCGACTCTCTAACCATTAGGCCACGACTTCCCCGTGTGAAACCAGAGCTCAAGTGTGCAGCGGATAAAGACTCCAGACCCACACTGGCATGTTGTCTATATCAAAACTGATCAAAGAGAGAGCGGGAAAAGCACATTACACATGGCATTTCACTCTCAGCCTGTGCGTATGTGTTTGTGTGCTTGCGTGGAAAAGCTTTGAAAATGTTGTTCGCTTGAAGTGATTATTCCAGCATCATTAGTGTATCTTATGATTTTTTGGTCTCTCAGGAAACAGATCTAGCCTGAGGCCCTTAAGCAGGTTAAAGGGAACCAAACCCTGTGCTGATTAATTATCTGAGCTCCTGTGAAGCTGTGACGTGGAGAAGTGTGTTACTCTGAGTGCAATTACAAGCCCTTCTAAAAGTAGTGCTGTATTTATTTCACATCAAACACATTGGAGTGCTAATTTTAACTTATTTTCTTTAAAGTAATCCATTATTCAGCTTCCCTTTGGGTCAAATGGATTGCTTGGTTTGAAGTTATTTATAAGTCTTCATATTTAAGAACCGTTGTCAAACATTCTCAGTTTTGCACATCTGTCTTTCATAAGAAATTCACTTTGAGAAAGCAGAAAAGGGATACAGAGAGAGATTAAGGTGACGAATGAGCTCCGTTTGGGATGTCGAGTCATTGGTAGAAACAAGTCCAACAATTCCTCACTACTGAGATCTGCCTTCTAAATTGGCTTGAAAAGTCACTATTCATTGGCTTCACAATGCGAAGTCAGAGCCTGATGTGCAGCTCTAACATCAGTACTTCCAGGAAAACAATTCACCAGCAGTTAATAAAACCATGGGAGCTTTTCTCGTATTGCTTGATTTACTTGCTCAGTGAGCATATGTTACTGTGATATGCAACTGTATGGGTAACATTTTAGATCACTGTTCCATCTTGTAAAAAAACCCAAAAAACATCAGGGAAATAAACAAACAAATAGCATTATAAAATAAATAAAATTAAATATATAATAGCCCATGACAGTTTTATATGCTAAAGCCTGCACCTGATCATCTTTAAAAGCTTTTTAAATAAGAAGATATGAACGAAAAATCAAGGAAATAAATAGCAATAAATACATTAATAAATAATAGCCAATGACATTTATTTTTATATGCTAAATCAAAAGACAGCATTACACAACACCGCATTAACCCTGTGAAGTCCTTTAGACTACCATAAATATTTGTCCTGGGCCCTGGAAAAGTTAAGAGAAGGAGAGAGGCAAAGCACAAAAGCAGCAGGGAAGAAAAAGAAAGGAATATACGCTAGCCGAACAAAGCTCAAAGGCCACAGCAGTCAGCAGCCACTTTGTTATGAGTTTGAATAGTCTGACATGCACAGACAGAGTGTGTTAACCTTGAGTGAGGCTGAGGGGAAAAGGGGAGTGGAGGCTGGTGGTAGTGGTGCTAAAGGCCTAAGCAGGTGTGACAGTTCTGAAAGTTTTCACTGGACAAAAAGGTTTCACTGGCCTCCAAGCAATGCTGAGCCACGGCTGACCTCACTGTTCGCCAGCGCTGGCAGAGAGGAGCTGTGTTTATAGTAGAAGAGAAGCACAAGAGATGAAGGAAAACAAGCACGTTTGTATGTATGTGAAAGATGCCTATAAAACAATAATAGTGTAAAAGTATAGCATATGCTCTCTAGTTCAAAACAGACGAACAGATCAGAGATCACACTCTGCCAGGGTTGTCTTGTAACTGTAACTAATAAATAAACATGTACATCAACTATATTATAATCTATAGATCAAAAGATATGCAGCTGATCAAGTTTTAATAATACTTGGCCATATTAATATTGTCGACATTTTTCACCAATCACCACCAACCCCTGAAAGTAATTATTTTTCCCATTTTCATCCAGAGGGGGGCAGCAAACATTATATTATGCAGGGTGCACCGTTCCTTCATAATTTACCACTTAGATCAGCCCAGAAGTTTATGCAAACGTTTGTGGATGTCTCCAAGAACCAGACAGCGTAACAGTTATTAATTCATGCATAACAGATTTACATTTACTGAAAGAACACAGATGATTTTTGTATGACCAGTGCAGCACTAATATTGTGCATCAGAATCACGTATAAACTGGAGCATATACATGTAATCTCGAGAAAAAAAAATTATTATATATATATATATATATATATATATATATGTAACTGAATGGGACTGGCAGCTTCTTCCCAAAGCAAATGCAATCTTGTATAGACTTCAATCAAAAAAACTTTCACATCAAAGTGGGCGGTCCCATACGTCTAGTTTGGTGACGTAATTTCCGCTCGCTCAAGTCTCAAGCTCTTGTTCATCTGTTTCCAAACCGCACGCCGGAGTGCAGGAGCCACTGAGACTCGACACAGCGCGGCGTTCAGCAGCAGCAGCAGCAGCAGCAGCCACTCGTGTGTCCGTGCCTCCTATTACCTCTTGCAGGAAGTGGATACTGAAACAGTTTCGCCGTCGGACGTTTGGTGTTTAAATCCTCTTTAACTCACAAACTCAACATGGAGAATGATAACAAATACCTCCCGCAGCTGCTGGCGGAACGCGACAGCCTGGACGCGTCGTTCACGCACGCCGCGAAACTTATAACAGCAGGTAAAAGCCGTTGTTTTGTGAAAACGAAGGCGAAGAGGCGTGGAAATCTAACCGGGAACTTTTTGCGATGTAGAGTTGTAGTTTTATTTAAAGAACCGGTGGGAATCGACTGTAGTCGTTTGCGGGACGCGGGGAGACCGTTACGAAGTCTCGCTTCAGCGCGCGCGGGGGGTGTACTCCGCTCGAGCCAGGCACGTGCTACCGAAGCCATTTCCCATGCTTTTTCGGAGGCACAAACGCCATCCTTTTACCGGATGGTATCGTTTCTTTGCACACTTCTCCGTTATGTGCGCTCGAAACCCATAGTGCTGTAGAGTGTTACCCCCGTCATCCCCCGGGCAGCAGTCCTGTTTCCGCTCCGTGTATAAGGAAGTGGAAACTTTCGAACCAGATTACGTGTTTTATACAACTTTACGATAGCTAATTTGTATTTTACTTTTATTAAAGAGAGATACGTTTTCAGTAAGGTATATAAAATGACTGAATCGTGTTAGAATTGCGAATGAATTGTTTTTTTTGAAATGAAGATTTACCGCCCATGTTTTGTAAGGAGGGCTCTATCTCAGGGGGTCAACGTTGCGTTTCTTTGTAGCGTCGAATCCCAGCCGACATGCACTTATCGTGTTTGTCTAGACTGAAAGATCTGGAAAGCTGCAGATGAAATCGTTCAACCCTGGTCAAATGAAATTGAAGACGGGTGAATGTCTTTAAGTTTGAGATTTGTCGTAGTAATAAAGACCATCCATATGTGGCTTTAGTCTGGGAAGTGTTACATCTGGAGATTAAATAGTTTTTTTTTGGTGTAGGAAATGTCTTTTCCTGGCCTCGTTTCACCACATGTCTTATATCATCAGCCTAGTGGGATTTTAACTGTATCTTGTGGCTTGTATTAGCAGATCAGTTCCTTATGTTACCTTTGCAGAGGCATGTAAGTGTTCGTTGTTTAGCATCAGACTTGCAGTGAAAAGCCCTTTAAAAAGCCTAGTCTATTGATTGATGGCGTTTTCTGCCAGTGTCTTTGAGGCAAGCGCTTTTCTTTGCAACCTGAAGCAAACACTTAAATCTCAGATGTGCATTTGCCATTGATGTAAAACAACCTGGAGATGGCTGGAAAAATATCCCAGGCCTGTAAACATTAACTTCTAATCGGGCTTGTCATGTTAAATGAGGGAAATGTAACCATGTTAATATGTCTCCTGACTAGTGATGCCCATTTTAAAGGTTTAAACCATGTTTCTTAAAACTGATTTTAACTGCAATAAATTTCTGACCCTGTTGTCTGATGTAGAAGTCAACTTGTGTGCAAATGTTTCTGGCGATTGAGATTTGTAATGCATGTAATTAGCTAGTCAAGCAATGATATTTAATGAAATGATATATAATGAAAAGTATTTTCAAATATATTAAGTAGCTCTAGTTTTTGCATTTCAATGTTCAAACCTGATGCAAAAACTATTTCTTGTGCCTTTTAGAAATCGAGAGGGTTGAGAAAGGAGAGACTGAGAAAGATACAGAAAGCTACCTGGACCTCTTTACCCAGAAAAACATCAAACTGAAGGAAAGGGTTCTCATACCAGTCAAACAGTACCCCAAGGTGAGTGTCACTGTTGTATTCTGGAACAAGTATGCTGTGATGGTTTACTCGATTACATGTGCGCTGCTTCAGATCTGGTGTTGAATGAATTTGTAATACCTCAGTGGATGCAAAGGTCACCTGAGGGTTCTTGGGAGGTGCACATTTTTTTAAAGGAAAGTAGAACTTATTTTAGGGCAAGAATTGCATTAGTACTGGAAAGAACTATTAAAGAGCGAAATAGTAGGTCTGAACTCGCCAGGGGCATATTTTAACAATTTTGCAAACCTTTGATTGTTAAAACCTGTGAAAGGCCTGTAATCTGTCATGAAGAGGCTTAAGATGTTTTCCAAATGCATGTTTCTTTGTGCGCGTCCCGTGATAGCTTACCTGCCAGAGGCGATCAGACCATTTGATTGAGTGCTCTGCTGGTTTGTGAGCGTAGCAGTGTTTTTCTTTGACCTTGCATGTTTATTCTCTAAAGTTTGCTTGCCAGATCAGTTGAGACTAGCTGAATTTATCATTTCATTTTGCTCCACCTCTGCCCAGAATCCAATCTTGTGCTTTTTTTCTTTTTAAGTATTACTTGGATGTCAGATTGGTATGCACGTTCTGCATGACTGATTATGCTGCTCAAGTCCAGTTGAATGTGCTGTTTCTCTTTAGAACAGCTTGTTATATCAAGCTTTTGCTTGAATTTGATTGAAAATGGGTTGTCCTGAGGATGTGCATCTTCAGAGTTGTCTTTGTGTGGTCACTTTATGTCTTAGAGGCAACAAATTATGTTAGATCTTTGCTTATGACTTGATTCACACCTGTCAGCTGCACTAAAATGTATTCCACAGCAGACTCCTAGGTTCTTCCTGCCGTGGGTTACTTTGATTTTAAATGTTGGACTTTACCTCTTTGCTTTTTTTTTGTTTTTGAGTGGCACTTCTCTTTGGTTTTGTGCTAAGAAACAGTTGTTTTGTTATCTCCTGAGTCAGATTTTCCTCCAATTTTGGCCGAGTGTCCTCATCTGTGCGTTCCCAGACCGCCTAATGTTACCCTTGCTTTGGTGTTGAGCGGTGCACGACTCTGGCCTTTGATCTCGTTGCATTCCATTTAATCTCATCCTTTTCTGGAAGATCAAAACTATTGAGTTTTTAGTCCTTGAAAACAAGTTCAGTCAGGCTAAGTGAGGTGCTGTAGATTTCTTCAAACACTGTGGGTTTAATATTTAATTTTATGTTGCTTTGTGCAGTTTAACTTTGTTGGGAAGATCCTCGGACCGCAGGGGAACACAATCAAGAGACTGCAGGAGGAGACTGGCGCTAAGATCTCTGTGCTGGGGAAAGGATCCATGAGGGACAAAACCAAGGTAACGTGTTTTTTCTTTTACCAGGGGCACCTCACTTTTGTTGCTGGATTTTTAAGGTAGCTCTAAAACAAGGAATAAAAGGATGGTTCTAGGCTATTTGATGTTGATTTGATTTGTCTTGCTGTGAGAATGAAGGTTTAATGACAAACTAAGGGTAAACTATATCTCATGAGCTACTTTTTGTGTTTTTCAGGAGGAAGGCTTGAGGAAAAGTGGAGAACCAAAGTATGCACACTTGTCCATGGAGCTTCATGTGTTTATCGAGGTGTTTGCTCCTGTTCCTGAGGCATATGTGCGCATGGCTCATGCCATGGAGGAGATCAAAAAGTTCTTGTTCCCTGTAAGTACTCAGAAATCTGCTCCGGATTCAAGAAAGACAGCCCAGAGATCTTTGCAGTCAAGTGCTGATATTGTGTTTTGTCTAAGCTTTCTGTTTATAGTGCTGTGATTTATGAATTCCAAATGGGCCATTGTTTAAGTCCAAACTGCCTGCGTTGTTGGATTGTAACTCTACTTGCTTTGCCTGTGGCAACAGATTAATATTTAATCTGATAAATCGGTTGTTTTCAAGCTTACTCTTGTGTCTAAACTGAGTGACTGAAAGGTTTCACTAAACCGTGTGTTTTTTTGTAAATTACTTTGACCTTTGTGCACTGTGCAAATGGCCTCATATATGAGCTAGTTTCTCATGCTGTAGTTACGTTGTCCAACTCTTTAAGCATCTGATGTTCTTGTGGAGAGTGTCATGTTAGTGAAGAACGCATGTCACACCTCTGTTCATCAATTTGCACTGGCTACCAGTAGCTGCTCACATTAAATTCAAGGCATTAATGTTTGCCTACAAAACCACCACTGGCTCTGCACCCATTTACCTAAATTCATTACTTCAGAGTTATGTGCCCTCTAGAAGCTTGCGTTCTGCAAGTGAACGGCCCCCACCGTCCCATCTGATTATGTGGCGTTCCAGGCAAGGTTATTTTCGTAAACGAAGACTAAAACGATTGATGAAAAAACAATTTCGTAAACTGAAATAAAAAAAATTAAAAACTAATGAAAAACTAAACTAACAACAGTTATTGAAAAACTAACTGAAATAAAATATTTATCAAAAATAAATCGTTTTCGTAATCATTACGTTCTCACCCCTTGGCGGAAAAATACACAGCTGTGTGGAGGTTTAGGGAAATAGCCTACCTATAATGGCGCATCACCCACATGGAGTTATCTGACAGAGAGACGCAAAGCAGTTTAAAGCCTGGTTTTGAAAATGACCGATACCGATAATCATAAAAATGCTTCATATCGGCGCTGATAATCGGTCGACCCCTAGTTTATAGCAGAGTCCTGCATGGGCGTTCACCAGCAGTACTTAACAGAACACCCGACCCATTATCTGACAGCAGCACTAATTTAATTCTGTACCAGACCAAGAACCGTTTGACAAAGACCGCGAGTCGTGACCCGAACCGCACTCGCATTAAATCTATTACATCAGGTAAGCAAGATTATTTATTTTATCATGTAACACAAGCAATCAAACCAACATTAGGCATTCTAAGTCGGTGCTTTGAAGAAAAACAGACATGCAGCGCAACATGATAATTAACAGAAAAAAAGATGAGAACGCGCGTCCTTTCTGTAAACAACACAAAACTTTTGCCTAGCATCTTCTGATCATTCTGCCAGGCTTTTGAACAAATGTGCATTGGCTAAATCACATAATACACATGCTTATAATTCTTCATAAATGAAAAGAACGTTCAAATATAAGCCTTTACTGTTAAATGCGATTGCCTTTATTATTGAATTTCATTAGTCCCAGTTTTGATTTATGCACAGCTGTTCACGGAAAAGTGAGCAAGACACCACAGTTACAGTATCATGATTATGGTTAAATAAGAAAAGACAACCAAATC